TCAGTTCTGTCTCAGTCACTGAAAGGCACAAAGATGCAAAGCAGGAAGAAAACCTACACACTCTGCCTAGTAAGACTTTGAAAGGGACAGATTCCTCCCCCATCTTAATTGCTACAAGTAGATAAGAAATACTCTCACAGAAGGCACAATTTTATCAGCTCGTGTACACAGTTAACACATAAGGTCAGCATTTAGAGATCATCCAGCAAGGTCAAGGTGACACACTGAAACACCAACTTCAGCTCTTGCGCCTCAGTTGGCTCTTGGGAAGGATTCCACATGTCCTAACAAAGTGCCATCTGTGTTCCTGCTCACAGCCTGCACCTGCCTGAACTGTGTAACACTCAAATGCTAGCCAGTAACTACGACATCTCAAGAGGCCAACCTCAGTTAACAAAATGATGAAAAATTGCAAAAGGACTTTTTAGTTCACGTGTTAAATAGAATATTTACACAATATTTCAGTTGCTTAAATATCTTCTATGCTTACCTTTCACGAGAACACATTGTTATACTCTACAAAGTAAAAATGCATTGAAACCTTACTGTAGGTTTTCAATACACATAGAAAAGGTTCCTCTCAGAAACAAATGTACTAATTCTACCATATGTTTGTGGGTTCTTCATTAATGACAGGCCAGTCCTTTTGTTAAGATGAGGGCTTCTACAACCTTAAAGCAAAATAATCAAGAGACAAAACCTACGGAGTAATCCTACTGTTACTGCACAAGCAAAGTGAATTACTGCTACAAAAGCAAAGTGGCTGCAAGAGCTAACCCCTGGAACCTCTACATAGATTTTCCATTTTTTTCCAGAATCCAGACTTACTCATTTTTAAATTACATTTTTACCTATCTGGTTTGAAAGACAGTTTACATTTTGAAGGCCAGTCTGTCTAGCTGAACTCATAGGCAGAAAGGCAAACATCAGCTACAGAAGGCAAGACCTCCATCAGGTATCATGTCTTCTTTTGTTTGCTCTGCTGTTGCCTGTGTTGCTTTTATTTCAGATGGTTAAGAGCCTCACAGCAGGGATCTCAGCTCTTCGTGTCTTCATGCATTTACAGTGCTCCATAAATTATTTCTACCAAATACTAACACAATCAGCTATTTCAGTGGTTGAATGACGTAGTAGATGTGCCCAAGTAAGTGGGGTTGTCTAGCAGAGCTAGGAAAACTTTTCCTGTCATGACATCCCATTGGAAACTGGGGCCAAAATTAATCAACGTGTTAAAAAAAAAAAAAAAAAAAGGTAAAAATGTGTTTTACAAATGCTACCCAGCCTTGCTCTTCTTTTGAGATGAAAAGGTACACACACTCAAATGCCAACTTAGTGACAGCTCAGCTGAGTAAACACACATAATTAAACGCTGCCCTTTTTGGGGCAGTATGTATCTCAAGAACACACACACGGATTTGTAAAAATGTAAAACCAACCACAGAACCAAAAGAAATATTTCATTAGGAATACATGCTGTTTCTTTGCCTGCTGTTTGCCATTTTACGTGGAACAGATTTCAGACCAAGTGCCACCCTACCGGTGCCGAGCCCCAGACCCACGCTTTGCTCAGCCTGTGAACACCCACTTTTATGTTGACTACGATGTTAATGACGGCCCCTTCAAAACAGAACAACTTACACCAGATGTAAGCACTGTTTTAATTGAAAAAACTGAAATTCCACCTAAACCTCCTCCAAAGGTGACTCCTCCTGCGGGCACGCCCAGGACCGGGTAACGACCCCACCAGTCTGGAACTACGGAATCAACCTGCAAACTCAAGAATTAAGTGTCCCACTCTGAACTCATCAGACACCGACCAACTCCTTGTCTCCATCAGTACCACCCTGACCTACCCCTTGTCAGCACCAAAAAACACATCAACTCCTGGCATCCCGACTTAAAAAAAACTGCAAACAAGATCCCCCGTGAGGCAAACGCGAGCGTGAGGCAAAACTCGAGTCCTTTTTACGCCTTTACACACAGCCTGTGTGACACGCGGAACTTGGGCCTTGCGGGGCAGCAGCACCAGGGCCCTGCGCAGCGACGTGCCCGCCGCGGGACCCTCCTCACAGCCCCCGGGCCCCGCTTGGGCC